TTCTGCACCTTCACAATAGTGCTTCATTCGCGCTATCGGCAAGCAATGGGAGTTTAGCATTAATTACATATTACAGGAGCATTCCACTTTATTCATTGGAAACGTATGCTATAAGCGCGACGTCATGTGAAAATCTTCACACAATCACGCAATCATGATGGTAGCATTCCGTTTCGCTCCTGTTTCTTATCCTGTGTGATAATCTTGTTGGTTTGATAGGAGTTGCAGTCCAGCAACAGCTGTAGGCTGCACAATTACCATGTCTACTTGAAGAGACTATCATTTTTCCCTTCAGAGGTTTGGTCCTAGGAGAGCAGCTGTAGGACGGGCAGTGGTAAAATCAAAAGTGGATTTGCCACCCCCAACCCCTGGTGGTGTTCCCCCCAGACTCCCCAGTAGTGGCCTAGCAGTGCTGGCCAGGACATACAGAGAAGCTACACAGTTAGAGGAGCCCAGCAAAACCAACTCCAGCAAATAGGAGCCTCATCTACAATATAACTACCTAAAGGCAAAAGATCATGTCTGATCTCGGAAGCTAAGCAGGGTCAACTCTGGTCAGTACTTGGATGGAAGATCACCAATGAATACCAGATGCTGTAGGCTATATTTCAGAGAAAGGAACAGACCAAACTACCTCTGAGTATTCCTTGCCTTAAAAACCCCTATGAAATTCATGGAGTCACCACAAGTCGACAGGCAGCCTGAAGGCACATACATACACAGCCATCATTTATAATGGTTCTCTGTAAGGTTAAAACAATTGTAAATAAATCCAATCTAAGAGGAGCATAAGTTTGAAGTATTATTCATTTACTTAGTGTGTGTAGGCTTGTTTGTTTCATATGACTTCACATAATTTAGAAGTAGATGCCTCTTGCTATTCCCCAACGAGTGATCACTGCATGCATTTTTAAAATCCATATGGTTAGATAAAATTCCTCTGAGAAAAAGTCCTGGTACGCATTACTGGAACAAATCTGTTTTTCTAGCTACTGCCAAGGTTCAGAGAACTCTTGTATATGCTTACCTCAGAAAGCACACAAGTTTGTCCATGCATCTGGAAAGGAACTTGTTAATAAGATATAAGTGGGGAAGAATTTTAGAGTTCCATTCCATTAGTCAGGGAGAGCCTACAAGTGTAGGCATACCAAAATAAATTCACACACCCTGCTAAGGAACAAGTAAAGCAATGAGCTCTTTAAAGCAGAAAATGTTAGTGAACACGTTTAAATGTTTTTCTTTCTTTTTATGGGTTACTCTGGGGTAAACAACTGTTACCATTCAACTCCATCAGGCTCCCTAAAAAGAATTTGGAGATGTTGCCTGCAAACCCCTCAGGGACTGTGGGAGCCATTTCATAAATTTTTGGGCAGCCGTAGGCTGTTTTAGGTCCCTATGAGGTCTTTTTTTTCTGCAACAAGAGAGATCAGGAAGTCAACATCTGGGCCACTTCCTGCTGGGAGAAAATGCCTGTCCAGGGCCCAAAATGGCCAGGAGGCAGGCAGAAACATGGTGGGATTTCTCCCTAACATAGCCACTGGCAGTGCTGAGGGCCATTAAAAAAAGATGCTGGGAGATGTCCTTAGGCCTCAAAAATGCTTTGGGCTGCATACAGCACACTAGCTACACTTTCCCCACGTCTTTAATGACAAGAGATTAATTGTTGAATACTGTGTGCACATCACCCTCACAGCAGTAAATGTGTGTTTCCTCCATGGTTTGTTTAAGTAGTGGGAAAGAGCATCTCCACTATTAATGTACCATCTAGGGAGGGAAAGACTCAAGAAAGAAAATGAAAAAGGGGCTTCTCAAGTGTCTGAAAACCTAAACAAGGAGGATCATTCTCAAGCTCCTTTCTCATATCCTCCTCCCCCCCCCCCCCCCCCCCCATACAGCCACTGGCTAGTGTAAAGACAGGGGAGCAGCCGAATGAGGAGGATTATTGTGAGCTTTGTTCCAATAGCTGATGCAAGAGAATGACATCTGCCTTGTTAGGAACCAGTTATTACAACACAGGCAGTGAGGATGATCCTCCACGCTCAGCTTCCCTTTACCACCCACCCTCTACACAGCAGGCAAGTGAGTGGGAGGCAACCAAGCAAGGATCTTCAAAGGCTACAGCCTTCACAACCCTTGTTTGTCTTCCCCACCTATGTGCTCCTGATGTTGCACATGGGAGAGGGAGACAGGCAAAGATCACCAAATGTCTCTATTGATTTTTGCTGAGCTTCCCCTTATCCACAGTCCCAATCTCAGAAAGGGAGAAGCCAGCCAGGATGACAGAAGGCTATATCCTCTACAATTTTCCTCATTTTGCCTCCCCTGCTCCTGATGTTGCACAGGAAGCAGGAGGATCATCAAAGGCTATAGCTTCCATGGTCCTCACTTAGTAACTGTTGGTCACTACATGGCTGAGGGGACAAGAAAACAATTAATAGGAGAAAGAAAAAGTGAGAATGGAAACAACAGATTGGGGGGGGGGTGGAACCACCAAAATAGCATATATTGTTGGGACAGACACAACAGTATTTATTGTTTTGTATAAACACAAGGAGTAAGATAGCAGCATATTTGGACATCACATTTAACCCTTAATTGAAAATACTCACTGCTTCAATAGGGTATGATCACCACATGCAATGATGATTCCCCTAATATGCCTTTCTCATGAATAAGCCAACATCCATTAGGTCCAAATGCATCCCAGATTTGATCTGAATATATGTCTACATCAGGGATGGACATGCTGTGGAGCCTAGAGGGCCAAACCAGCTGATATTCAGGTTTCTCCAGAGATCTACTGCACCATCATCATCTTGGTGATGTAATCTGACAATCGCATCACTCCTGATTGCTTTTGAGACTATTTGTGAGGTGGGAGGTTCTTGCTGTTGTCAGGATATTTAACTAATTGGAAACTTTCTGAAGCATATTTTCAGCCAAAAGGCTTTTTTTTTTTTTTTTTTTTGCAGAAGATATAGTGGAGGTGCTGGGGTCTGGGTACGCAGTGGAGCTCCCACGGGCTGTATGATCTCTACTCCCCATCTAGCCTATACACAGGTATTAGCATTCTCTACTTTTGTGGAGAACCCAGTATTTTCAAGAGAGTGAAATTTTCTCTTATAAAAAGCACTTCACTGTTCCAAAAGGGAAAAAAATCATCAATTTTTCTCTACATCCACCCAGTTTTCCAGTTGTTCCAACTGGAACACCTGAAAAACTGTTCCTTAAAAAAATGAATGTAATTCCCCTCTTTTTCCATGTTAGATGAATGCAAGCCTTATATGTCTTTCCTGAAGGGTCAGGAGAACACAAGTCACATACAACTAAAGCTGAACCAAGGAATCTATGCAAACTCTCCCTTGAATAAAGACAAAACCCTGTATGGTGTATGTATGATGATAGATTTCCCCACACACAGCAGAACACATTCACCCAAATCAGAACATCTTAAATTTAGGCTTGTTGAGATTCCAGGCCAAGAATATGGATTAGTGAAGTAAGAAGACTGATGTAGGGCCCTTGAGAAATCATCTTAAAATGTGTTGGAGTCACAAAGGCAATTCTTAGGAATAGGCCTTAAGATTAGCTGTCTTTCTATTTTTTCTTCAGTTCTTTCAGAAACAAAACACTAGGGATCAGAGTGGAAATGATGCTTATCACAATTCTACTGTAAAGTCATTAATTTCTCCAAGTCAATACTAATACGTATGCTAATTCAAATAAAGGCTTTCTTATTCTAATGGGAAAAAGAGAGAAAGAGGTGGGGGACAGCATATGTGTATGGAGAGAGTCTCCCTCCCTTTCTCCATATTTTTCCTCCCCTCCTCCTCCAATTATGTGGTGCCAAGCATGTTTTATATTTATGATTATATAGAATCATAGAGTTGAAAGAGACCACAAGGGCCATCCAGTCCA